CATTCTACTTTAATTCTAATAATTTTAAGGAAATTATTTCTTTCTGTTTTCTTTCACTTTCAATTTTGCCAATGTGAAGTCATTTGAAAATAATATTTACTCTGTAAATATTTTTGTAACTACTGAAAAATATCCCAATTTTTTCATGCAAATTTCATTAGTGACTCATTGTTAATCACTGAGTGTATGAAACTCATGGAAGAAGTTTTTAGTTGTACAGCACAATAAACTACAATTATCCCTGGATGTTTAATGCTTTTTTTTTTTTTTTTTTTGGTTAAAGATGATGAGTTTAAGGATCTAGAAAATGTGTAATGGACCATAGTGAAAATGAACCAATTTTAAAGTTACCCCTAAAGTTCATTTTGTTCAAATTCTGTAATTGGGATGTAAGTAATACTAGTAGCTCAATTAGAAAACTGGGAAGATGCAATTTTGCAAATAGCAGTTTAAGAAAACATCTTTTCAATCTTAGCCATAAATGTAGGAAGACATTAATGAAATTTGGCTTCCCAGAAAACTATTATGGAATTATAAGGCATGAAATACTGTGTTCAGAGCAAAGTAAATGAAAGTCCTTCTTGGCTGGTCAAGCTATTGTTAGTGTCCTGCATTGATCTGATTGCTAATGTATACAAGATGAACTCAAAACAGCTCAGTCATGAAAATGAAGCAAATTTAAATACATTTCACCTACAAAAAGAAGATTCAAAAGTGATACAGAAGAAATTACAAGGTATTAGGACATGGTATTTAGAAGAACTTTTTTCTTATCTTTAACATGGAACATTAAGGATATTTAAAAACATAATTTTTTAAATGATATGAAACATGAAACTACAGTTATTATAATACTTTAATAGATCTTCAACTCTGCTCAAAAGAACAATACTTAAAGGCAAAATTCTTCACTCCAGGCAGCCACCTTGTGGGTATTATATTCACATTATAGATGGAGAAGTAATAAGCTTATGTTTTATAAAACCAAAATCAACCTCTCTCTGCATCCCCTCTAAATTATCATGGGTTAGTTGACTTACTGGCATCCAATTGCACAGAAAGATCAATCTGACTCATTTACAACCAATAGATTCCACTGCATAAAAAACAATATTCTTCATTCAAAGACAAGCATTACAGAAACTGGCAAGCTTATTGTCCTGAGAAAGAACTGTTATCCAAAATTGGTTAATATTACCCTCATCTGAACCTGTTTCCTTGGTTTTCATGTTTGATTACCTACAAGTTAGCGCAGAGCTCTTTATCTCTATGTGAGTTGTTAAGGGGCTTCTTCAACTGAAAATCATCCAAATTGCAGTTCAGTAGCATAAGCAAAATTAACATTATCTATTTGAAATGAACAAAAGAGTCATGGATGCATTGCGACCCTTGCCATCTCATATAGGGTTCAAAATTTGGAGCGTAATGTTTCACTCTTTCTGTTAGCTTTTATGACTATAATTTTTCTCTGAAAAAAAATTATTTTCTTAATTTTCCAATGTGAACATACTACATTCTTCAATTTATTAATTTATAAACCTGTGTTATACAGTATAATTTAATAAGCACCTTCCATTAAGAATCTGATACTGAGGGAGAAGGTGAGTTTCCAAATACCCATATGTCAAGGAGGATTTTATCATATTATATCAGAGAAAAACACTGTGATGTGATTCGGGAATGGGAAAAAATGAATTCACTTAAGAAATACAAAGAAAGATTTTATGAGAGATGTAGCATGTGAAGGAATCATACGGAATATGTGGAATTAAGGTGGAAAAGGGAACAACATAGCAGAAACAGAGAACAATACATATCTTTCTTGACAATCACACCAGTCATTTGTTTGTCTGGAAACCAATAGTTAGCTTGCAATTATTAGACTCCAATATTGATTGAGATCATCTTCATCTTTATCCTAAACATGTTTTATAAGCCCCTAAAATGTTTGCTTCAATAGAATATTTTGTCATTTCCTTATTTCCTTGTCCCTTCAACACAAATGTACTCAGAAATATTCAAGCAAACACGAGAAGCTATTTACTCTGTCATATGGTACCAATTTACTCCCTTTGTTTTTCCAAAATCTTTCTGAGCTCTGTGAGAATTTTTTAATATTTACTTTTTGTTTTTGGTGGACACAACATCTTTATTTTTTATGTGGTGCTAAGGATTGAACCCAGCGCCCCATGCATGCCAGGCGAGCATGCTACCACTTGAGCCACATCCCCAGCCCAATGCTATTTTTAATTTCTGCAATACATCATGAGCCCATTGTGTTGTAACCTTTTTCTTGTTTTTATCTTCACTTAGACGCTAGGTGCCTGTTCTGAAGACAACAGGAGTCCTGTCTCTCTTACCTCCAGAACTCAGCACTGTTTTTGCCAGTAATGAGTAAATGATATGTATTATTGAATCAGTGAATGGAGGAGTGAACATAGAGGGGGCATGTTAGTGTCTTGCCATATTGTTGGCTGATAGAACAGAAATATAACTTGTGCAAACCTGTTGTCATGGGGGACAGCGCGATCATGGTTCTGTGTCAAGTGACTTACAAATTTGAAGCAAATTTTTTTTTCATTATAATTATCTTTAGCATCTGTCTGGACAGAAGACATGTTTGGATTTGAGATAAACAGAAACAAACAGAAGATGTAAATGTGTAGAAAACATTAATAAGTAACATAATTGAAAATAAAAATGTATTTTATACTAAGTACCTAATAAGAGTATAATAAATTCCAAATCTTCACCAGCAAAGAGACAGCAAAATTCAAATTCAAGGAAAAAAAATCAAGATTTTACTGTTATTTCTTATCATTTGAAGACATTAAATTGAGTAACATGACTATTATTGATAAGTGCACTTCTAAATAAATGTGTTGCTCTTATCATGGTAGCCTCTAATGACTATTTAGATAGTTTTTAAATATTTGTGAAATAATTTGAAATGTTTTTCTCTAGTTAATCAATTTTAGAAGGACCCTGAGAAAAAAATGTTTTTTCTCTAGTTAATCAATTTTAGAAGGACCCTCTAGTTAATCAATTTTAGAAGGACCCTGAATATGTTCTAATACACAATCCAAATGTTGCACTGTAAATCACTGGCTGAAACACTTGCACATACACATAGAGATACACACATGCACGGATATATATGTAAACTGTGTATGTATTTATGTATCTGTGATACATCAGCAAACTCTCTGTAGATTATAATTGATAACATTTAAAAGCAGAATGGAAAGTGTTGAGAGCCACAGCCAAAGCAGCCCCAGCAAACTTCCAGCTGATTGGCTCACTTCGGCCCCAGCAAACTTTCAGCTGATTGGCTCACAGCCAGCTGATTGGCTCCTCTGCGGTGACGCTCATTGGGTGGTTTCCCCGCCCTTTCAGACCACAGAGCTGCTCATTGGGGGACTCTTTTGGCTCCGCCCACATGACCCAGCCAGTTGGCCTCAAGGGTGGGAAGAATTCCAGTTGAGGTGCTCACTGGAAGAGCTGGGGCAGTTGGGCTCTGAGGGAATTCTTGGAGAGCTGGGGTGGTGCTGCATGTTCTAAAAATAAAGTTCATTCCTGTTTGACAAGTGGCTGGTGAATTGTGCCCAGCCAGACTGCAGCATTTGGTGGCCCGTATGGGGATTGAACCTGCGACTTTGGCGTTATCAGCACCTTGTCTGTTGATGCAGCAACTTGTGGTAGTGCCAGTAGTCTGGCTGGGCTCCTGATCTGTGTCCAGCCAGACTGAGGCAGGAATGACCACAAATGCATTACGACATTTTAATCAGACTTTTATCAATAAAGATATAAAGTAAGAAAACCTACTAAAGAACTCTTGTATGCAATTTGTGCTTGCTTGTGAAATCCTATTCAGCCTAGTAATACCAAAATAAGTAAAAAGAAAAAAAAAAACAATAACAATTGAAACCTGAACTCACATAGAAAAAAATGGTATTTGTTTGCAATGTAAAATAAAGGCTGTTATTAAAAACCTGATTGTCAGGTATAGTTTCCATTTCCTTCCATGTCTAATAGAAAGAACTTCATGGATTTAGGGAGTTTTCAACAAATTTCACAACCTTGTTCATAAATATTCTAAGTAGTATTCCTTTTATGACTACTGGTTGTGAGCTTAAGTTTGGAGGCAGAATCTGTAGAGAGACAGGAATCATGATCAGAATGCATACTCACATCTTTTCATGCTAAATTATCAGCAAGTAATTAAACTTTTTGATGGCAAACTATTCTGATATCCTGAGGAAACAGCTGAAATATATCAAGTAGCTTTCCACAAGTGATCAGAAACTATGAACTTGTCTTGAGACTTTTATAAAAAGTAAAGATTAAATATTTCTATATTTCAGAATAAAGAAAATCAGAGCTACATTAAAATGAGTTCAATAATAATTGAATTTTGTATGAGCAAAGTCATGCCTTCAGAATTATCAGAACCTGTCTCAAAATAAATGACAAAAAGGGCTGGGAATGTAGATTAGTGGAAATGCACCACTGAGTTCAATCCTCAGTATCAACAATAAATAAATTGATAAATAGATAATAGCAGAGTGCTAGCCTGGCATGGTGGCTCATGCCTGTAATCCCAGCAGCTCGGGATGCTAAGACAGGAGGGTCATAATTTCAAGGCCAGCCTCAGCAACTTAGTGAGGCCCTATGCACCTTAGTTAAATCATGTCTCAAAGTAAATAATAATAGTAATAATAATAATAATAATAATGGCTGAGGATATGGTTCAATGTTTGGGGGTACCTAGATTCAATTACTGGTAACAACAACAAAAATAGCAGAGTTCTAAAGGAATATTTTCACTTTAAATTTGACAGTATTAGAAAATGCAGATAATTTATAAATGTTTGTTGAAATCCTAATGTATATTTCAGGCAATATGTTAGATTCAGATAATGTGTGGCTGGAAAGAAAAAGGAAGAGGATTCTAAAAAATAAGTGTGTCATTCTCCCTCCATTTCCTTGACATCCTGGAGTGTATCATCCATTCCTTGACTTGTCTTTTCCCAAGACTTTCAGAATCAAGTCAATCCTTGCTAACAAACAAAAGCAAAAGCATCCCATTCCCTAGTAGATTCAGATAAAAACTGATAATAAAAGCAGGTATAACTCTAAGAGTAGAGATTATAGAAGAACAATGTTAGTTTTATTATATATGCAATGATACAACTATTTATGCTGTATCAAGGTAATTCTCATTTTACCATTATCAAGTTGAAATTTTTACCAAAAATGTGAAAGGTTGGACCTTGTTTCTTGGAAAAACAATTTTGTTCTTTGTTTCCATGCTCTGCCCAAGTTGGCTGGCTCAGTAATAAGCATGTGATACATTTAAAAAATTATTATTTGTTTTTAATAAATAACAAATTGATATGTTTGTGAGAGGCAATGGAGACTTTGTGTAATATCTCTACATTTGTTTTTGGCAATGAGACAGAGAGGGTTAAAAATTAAAATGATAACAATATGGGTACTATAAAAAATTAGAACTGTGTAATTAAGTGTTTCACAAAAAACATTTGGAAATACATAAAGATATTGTCATTATGTATTTAAATCACATGGCATGCCTTACAACATATCATGTAAGATGACTGAGAAGCTGAGAATTGAGAGTATAATCTCAATGGATCAGGATTCTTGGCTGTAACTCAATGATAATTTCTGAAACAAACATTTATCCATTTGAAAAAAAAAAGTGGGGTATGTTCCACTTTAATTTTCATTTCATGGGTAGGTTTTATTTTCTGAAATGACTCTTGGCAAAAGGAAAGTGCAAAACCAGGTAGGAGTTTTGAGGTTAGTTCTAAACCTAACTGTCCAAGAATATACTAACAAGGAATGGTAAGTTAACAATGAATAACTGGGTCAAACAATGAGGTATAATGGAAGGGTGTGATAGTTGACCCTAGGAAGAAGGTAAGATGTTATTAAATTTAGGGTACTGAATTCTTTTCAAGGAGTTGTAAGGGTATCTAAAACATAAGGCAGACATACTGACTGTGGCTGATAGATTTCCTCTTGATGATTCTCTTTGCAAAAATAAAATTCAGTAATACTACTTAATCAACTAGCTCCACCCAAACAGTGAACAATAAATGTGAAACTTGGAACAAAGAAGGGTCTCATGATTTTCTCATCCTATTTGAAGTTGGGAAAGAATCACTGGAAATGGGAGCACCAATTGAAGAATGTGAAGGGAACAAGAAAATACCTTTTGTAATGTATGGTTTATATCAATAACCAAACAGTTTCTTTCCATGGAAGATAATAAAGGGGTCATTCATGTTCTATGACACTGAAAAATTTCCTGAAAACTTTATTTATTAAATTCATACTTATTGTCCACTGTTTGTGGGTGCTTTTTAAATTTTGAAGATATAATTGAGAGAAGCAGCCCTCATGGATCTTACATGCTGGTCTCTTTCAAAGTCTTCTGTTGTAAGACAGGGAATTTTTTTTTTTTTTGCCATGTATGTCTAGAGATTAAGTGGGATTCTGTAAAACATCACCTGGTTTCAGGCACTGCATCCTTCATTTTAGAGTTCCATCCATACTTCTGAGTGTCACCAGTTATATGGCAATGTGGATGATTCAGGTAGTTGTTTGACTTAACCTCAACTCAAGGGAAATCAACTCATTTTTGTTAATATATGGAAATGGGAGAAGATAAAGGAGAATATGCATATGTACCTAGAGGATTAAAGTTAGTATGATTATAAAAATAATCTGTGCAAGTTTATTTTATATTCATTTTGTGTTCTTTCAATGTTTATTATGTGCTTTATAACTCTATTTTCATTCATTTGATTTTTAAAGCAGATAATGACTGAAGAGAAAGTAACTTGGTTTCAAAATTATCTCCTAATTTTTTCCTTAGAAAAAAATAAAAGCCTAGAGAATGTAAATTGCGACTTAACCACAAGAAAGAGTTCATCTAACTTGACTATTAGTCCACTGAAATGTCCCCTTTATCTGATTGCCTCATCTTCAGTTCTTTTTTTCAGGAGATGAAAATATATGTAGCTTGATATTTGAACATAAATTTTTCCATCTCAAAGACCTGTATTCAAATACAAAACAAATTCTGGATTCCAGCTATAAGGTCTTTCAATGAACTCTGCAGCCTTTAATATGCAAATAGCCAAGTTTTGAAAGGTTTTCTCTTTCCTCTTTCAAAGAATGAAACCAGTATTGCATGACACCTGGATACCTGCTTTTAGAATGCTAGCACAAAGTGCAGCACTAACAAAGTAAAGTTTGTTTTAATACTGCTGAAACTGTGATATGGGTTTATACAAAGGAGATAAATTTATATTACAAAAATACTACATTATTCTTTGTGAACCATTAATGAAAAAATGAATAAAAAACCCTGACAGAGCACAGAAGTAATTCCTTTTACAGATGATATTCTCAGGCACATTTTCCTAGTGAACCATTCACTCTCGTCTTGTATAAGACCTCAAGAAGAGCAGCATATTTGCATTTCTCAAGCCAGTAACCTGAGCAAAACTGGGACAGTTTTCCAAAGCTGGTTAGTCTAATTCATCTTGAAGCTGCAACCAGTACAGCATCTTGCTTGTAGTTAATAAGTGAGTTGATAATTATGTGTAACCAGCTGAAACAAAGTTATCCACAGTTTTTAAAATGATACTTCATCTCCTCAACTAATAATATTCCTGAACATAAAGTAATCAGGGCAATTTTCTCATTTTGGTTATCATATGTATAATTTTTTAGGTGATTCTTATGACTTTGAAAATATATATATTAGCAAGCCTGTAATCCCAGTGGCCCAAGAGGCTAAGGCAGAATGATCCCGAATTCAAAGCCAGTCTTAGCAACATCGAAGAGCTAAGCAACTCAATGAGACCCTGTTTCTAAATAAAATTCAAAAGTAAAAGTGCTGTGGATGTGGCTCAGTAGTTGAGTGCTCCTGAATTCAATCCCTAGTACTAAATAAATAAATGAGAGAGAGAGAGAGAGAGAGAAAGAGAGAGAGAGAGAGAGAGAGAGAGAGAGAGAGAGAGAGAGAGAGAAAGAGAATAAATATACATATTCAAGTCTACTGTTAAGGAATAAATATACCAATCAAGTCTATTGTTCCCAAAAGGAATGAATTCCTTAGAGAACTCAGGAAAAACTCTATTCAGCTCATCTAATTTAGCATTGCATTGTCTGAGGATAGCAACAGACTTTGTAAATGGTTACACCATTAAATCCATAAATATTACTTTTAGTAGTATTAGTGTAGTGTTTTTGTGGTACTAGGGATTTGACCCAGAAGTACTTTACATCTGAACTACATCTCTAGCCTTTTATCTTCCTTATTTTGAGATAATGTCTCTAAATTAAAGAGCATGGCCTTGAATTTATAATCCTCCTGCCTCAGCCTCCCAAATCACTGGGATTCAAAGCTTGTGCCATGGTCCTAGTCACATATTATTTGTAATTACACTGTGCACTGCCTTGAGCGAGTTGCTAAAAAGACTTAAGCTACAGTTTGTTTTTATTAAGAAGTAAAGGCATCCCTTCCACAAACCTGGAGTTATCAGCACTGGGCAAGGGAGGGGACTTTGAAAAAGACTGGGTACTATCATTTCCTAAACTTTATATACATGACTAGTTTATGGAAAATTTAATGCACATGCTAAACCCCAGGAAAGCAGATTCATTGAATAGAAAAAAATACCTGAAGACAGCAACTTTTGAAACTGTCCTTGATGTTTAACCAAGAAATCCAAAGAAACTATGCAGATAGAGGAACTGAGGAAATTCTTTTCACCATTTTTGTGAGAATATGTGACTTGAAGGTAATTTTTTTTGAGTGTGTGGGAGTAAAAACCAAAATGTATTCTGAGAAAAATTATAATGGTTTTGAGAAATACTGTGCATTCAACACCAGCAAAGCTTAAATCAAAATAGAATGGAAAATGCAACCATGGATACAGTAAAGTGTATGGGAGGTTGGACTTTTGAGGATTTCACTGATGGTCAGCCTGTTTGCTACTGTGAGTAAAACACCCAACCAGAACAATGATAGAGGAGGGACAGTCTATTCATGGTTTTCTGCATCTCAGACCACAGACAACAGGTTCCATTCCTTGGGGCTCCAGGTGAGGCAGGACATCATGGCAGAAGAGTATGGTGGAGGGAAGTAACTCACATGATGATCAGAAAGTAGAGAGAGTGACTATTTGCAAAATACAAAACATACACCTACAAGGCACACCCCCAATAACCCACCTCCTTCAGCCACACCCCATCTGTCATTAGTTACCACTCAGTTAATCCCATGAGGGAATTAATTCAATTATTGGGTCAAGGCTCTCATACCTCAACCATTTCACCTCTAAGCCCCCTTGCATTGTCTCACACATTAGCTTTTGAGGGACAACTAATATCCAAACCATAATAACTGGCTTCAAGATGAATATTTATATAGGACCAAATAGATAGTGTAGCTGAAAGAAAAAAAAATCATTCTCCAGAATAAACAAACTTACATATACACAGGCAGAAAAATACCAACAGCAAAATAAAACTAACATACTACATTAGAAAACAAATACAAGAAGTAAACACTGTACTCAGGTAAGTGAAATGTATAATATGAGGCTTCTTTACAATACTAAAATGTAGAAGTTTAATAAATTTTATTCTTAAAAATAATTATTTATCAAGCAAATTTAGTTAATTAGTTTTGAAGGAAAAAAGATAAGACAAAGAACTGTTACACAAATTATTAAGGTTTTCCAGTTAGCAAAAATAATTTAAAAAAAGAAAATGAAAAAGAAACGAAAATCTAGAATGAGTAAAACCCATGAGCACAAAAATAAAGCAGGCAAAAGTAACCTCTAATTAGTGGGCCTAAATATTGGGCATAGAAGGCAAAGACTGAAGAAAGTATTTAAAATAGGTTGAGAGAACAAAAGTAATTACAGTGAAAGAATGAAAATTTTCCTGAATTATTAACTAGCCAATAGCAAATATAAGGATTGAAAGCATTTATTTAAAAAAAAAACATAATTAGAGAATCTGGATGTGAAATAACAAACTGCAAAATTCCCAACAAGTCTCAAGGATAGATTCAAAAAATAATCAATAAACTTGAATATAAACAAATAGAAAGTACCAAAAAAATAGAGAAAAATATACTGATGCATGGAGAGTTAGGTACATGGGGTAAGCACCCTGATATACACAATATGAGGTGCCATAGAAAGAGGAATGAGCAGCATTATTTTTTTTAAATGATGACTAAATTTCACAAATTTGATGAAAATATTAATCTACATATTCACTGAGCTTAATGCAGTCCAAATGGGTTAAATCCCAGTACCTTTATATCCAGCATATCATAGTGAAAATCCTGAATGCCAAACTTAAAAAGAAAATCTTGAAAACAGAAATAGAAAAATAATTCATTACATAATAGGCAAATGAATAAGACAAACGAAGAAGACATCTCATCAGAAGCATCAGAATCAATGACAGCCTGAAAGCTGGGTAACACATCAAATTTGCTAAAATAGAAAAAAGAGGTATTGATCAAGAAGTCTGGGAGTATAACAGTAATAGAGCACTTCCCTACTAGATGGGAGGCCCTAGGTTCATTTGCCTGTGCAGTGTGTACACACACTTACATACTCACACTCACACAAAGAATCTTATGGCCAGTAAAATGGTTAATTACAAAATGAAGATGAAATAAGGTCATTCCATGTACATGAAAACAGAAAAAATCCTAGGAGAAATTCCAGAAGTTCTTCAGGCTGTTTAAGAAGTTATACAACCCAGGAATTTTAATCTATAAACACACACACACACACACGCACACACTCACATACACAAACATTTATAAGACAGGCAATATAGAAGATTCAATACTTATATTCTTCTCCTTTCTTCTCTTCAATAATTTAAAGAAATTACATGTCTATAGAATAAAACATAAGTAAATGCCACATATTTGACAATAATGACACAAAGGAAAGAAAGGGAATAAAGCATTGATATATTGAAGTGAGCAAATGAGAACAAATTTAAAGTCCACAAGTAGACATGAAGAGAACCATGAAGAGTAAATACGAAAATTAAAAATTAGAAATATATTTTATCATCCTTTTCTCTCAGTTTCTTTAAATGGTATAAGATTATAAGAAGACAACTTTAATTTTAACCCTGCAATTTTAGTTCTGTGACATATAGCTAGAACAGAGCACACAAAGTGGCAGTGGGGGAGAGAATGGATATATATAGATGTGAAGTTCTTACACCTTAGTATGATTAAGTTAGCATTGGTCTGAAGATTATGATAAAATGTGTATTGTAAACCTTAGTCAAATTTAAAATTATCCTAAATGAATTAAAAATCTAGAAATTGAAATTTCTAAAAAATTTCAGATTTTAAAATATTATAAAAATCTTATTTATATTCTTATAAATCCATTTAAAATGTAATTTATGATTTAGATTTGTAGACTTCATCCATCTTCTTTCCATGGTATTCATACTATATAAATAGTAATAATAATACAGATATTAAATGAATGATTTACATACCGAATTTCTTAAACACAGAGGTTTAATTCTGAGGACTCATTGCAATCCTGCTTTCCCATGTCTAAATATAAGGTTCATCATTCTTTGAGTGATGGAAAATGGAAAGGGATAATTATATTTCAATATGACTGTAAAAATTAGGAACAGCCATTTTTCTTTCCACAATTCATCATGGTTGCATACAAAAGCTAAAAACAAACTGAGGGGTGAAGCCCAGAAACTGCAGGGGAGTAGAATGTCTGTCCCACACAAGACATCTCATATGGAAATATCCTTGTACCTAAATTTAGACTGGGTGCTTCTTAAAATAGTCTAACTGCTCATCTGTAAAATAATTTCACATTAACTAAAGTCAAAATATTCTATTTTTTAAAAAGGTAAGGTACAAAAAATGTTTTTCTTTTAGTAGAGATCATTTTTTTATGTACTCAATACAGGGATGCAAATGAATTTAAGATTCAAATTAAGATTATCAGACACGTATTTATAAATACTTAAGTTCAATAGAAAGACAACTATATTCTTTAGTTGGTTTCCACCTGACATGTAAGTAGAAAACAGAAATAGGTCATGAGAACTGGATAAAAAATTAGTGAAATTATTATGAATAAAATATATTATTTCTAAGGGCATTATTTAAAACCTGTGAGATACCAAAGTAAAAAAAAAAGCACCACCAAGAAATATTTTTTTAAATATGGATGTTTGTAAATCTTCTTTGTAACCATTCATAAAACTATATTCTCTCTAAAAATCATTCTCACACCCATTCCCTATACCTGCTCCAAAGCTCAATAAATTTTTCATCCACCTCATTGTAGCTGGTTGACTTTGAATAAATAACATGGAAAGAGAAAAGAAGATTAAATATAGCATTGAAAAAATACCTTATATATTCCAATGCTCATTATTTCACACTCCTGGAGTACATGAGAATATTAAACACTCTTCTTCATCGTTTTTTGCAGGGAGTGCAAAATTCTGCACTAGCTCAACTTGGACATCGCTTTCACCTGGATTTATATTCCACCTTTGCAAATTACTAGGTCTTTGTCCATTTCTAAACTTTTGTTTAATACTTGAAAAATTGTGGTACTAATTAAGGCTTCCCATAGCTTTTATGTGAAGAGACATTTTCAAAAACATATAGGAAGAGCTTGTCAGAGCATTTCAATATAGCTATTCAAAAACATTTATTATTATTTTTTTCTGTTGTATATTATCATGTTAATCAGAATTCTAAGCCCACTCTACATTTGGAACTGTTATGTCCCTGATATATTCAGTGTGCCATTAGTGTGTTGTCTTAGAAAGAGAAATCTAGAGGTGTTGGGGAGTTTCAAGAAATGATTTAGTACAATGAGAAGCTCATTGGTACATCTCATCTTTCATGGTGTAAACTATCTCAAACAATATAATTTATGCTTCTTCGTGAAT